CTAGCTCACGTTTGTGTTTTCAGGAAGTAAAGCGACAACGTTTGGAGAAGCGCAGACTTGATCAACAAGATTATACGAGAAGGTTTATTTCTTTCCCGTACATATATATATATTTTTATAATATCTAAATTGTCAATCTAATAACAAAGTAAAGATGATAAAAAGACATGTGTCCTTATTTGTTTATTGTTCATCCAAACAAAATTATGAAAAACTACAATTATTTTCTTTCTTTTTTAATATAATCTCTTTTTTTTTTCTCGCCTATAATACCAAACAAACTGTTAAGGTTAATTACTTTTATTATTATAAATTTGAACATAAGTGTCTAGACTATTAAGTTTTTAATGATTAATAATAGTTCAGAGAGAAGAATTTTTTTTATTTTTTATTTTTTATGATTGTTCTTGTTCCAACTCTTCCTTCTATAAGCTTCCCTATAAAAGTTGCTCTAATGAGTAGTACTATGCACTTGAAAAATTCATACAAAATTTTAAATAAGAATTATATGACTACTTCAAGTTCTCTTATTTTAAAATCACAAGTCCATCAAAATGGTTCCTATTTTCAAAAATATTATTATCATATCATTTTTATGATAAATTCTGTAAAAAAATTCTATTTTAAAATTATTTTTCACCTTTAATTGGATGGTAAAATGAAACAAGAGAATTGGTTTGGCATATCTTAATTATCATTGTGATTTTGAGGCATATAGGTATACATACATTGGAATATGTTTTCAATACTTGGGCCTTACACATTGATCTTAAAGCCCAATACTAAAACATGTTTACAATCCAACTACACTTGCCTAGAGAAATGAGGTCCAGCCCAAAGTAGCTAGCTTTCACCTAAGTTATTCTATTTGCACTCAAATAATAACTCAGTAAACCTAATTAAAATTTTGAAAGTTTAGTTCATATTATAGCATAATGTAAATTTACTAATAAAGATAATACATATTAAATTTTAAAATAAAATATTATCTTTTTTTTGTGGTACACCTAAATCATTTATACATATTCAATTAAAAGAGGTTTATGAAAGAAATAGATTTTAGGGCCGAAAAGTTTCAAAACACTGAAGAATAATACGTAGATCAGAATCAGCTATGACCAAATATAGATCACAATCTTCTCTTAAAAATAAGCACTCCTTTAAACCCAAAACTTCAATCAATGATGTACTAACAAATCCAATTTCTGACATTTATGGTTATTACCTACGCAAAATCCAATCCATTAGAGGGTTCTGCATTTATGTTACAACCTACACAATGCATTTATTGTCTCTCCATGTATTCCTTCTGGATTCTGACTGTTGAATTTTTTTTTTTTGGCCGGTGGTACTACATGTATCAATTAGTATATTAACTAGTGAGTATACCAACACTAGTTATGATATTATTATTGACCCCACTAATTAATCACATTACAAATTTTAAAAACCTATTGTGCTACATCATCAGTTAGTACACTAATTAATACATACATAAAGCATTATTCATTTTTTTGCTGATGAATACAACGTATGGAATACTTGATGATCCTCATCTAACAACATTTTAACAGTCCATTGCCTCAACAGACAATCTGGGTTTTTTGAATGTTTGTTTTTCATATATTTTACATCCTTGAATCATCTATAATTCGAAGTGGTGTAATTTGAGATCATTTATTTTTAAAAGTGCTTTTCAAAGTGCTATAATTTGAAAATTTTGATTTATTTATTATTTGGGTGTGCCTTGAAGGGTAATTTGGAAGGGAAAAAAAAAATATAAGATGTATTGAGAATAAATTATACCCCTAAGTAATTAAATAACGAGTGTTGAGAAATTAAGCGTACCTAAAAAGCCTGGGCTAAAATAGTTACAAAAAGACAAAATAAGTTAAAATGTTAATAAGACAAAATATCACATTTAACCCATAGTCATTTCATTTTTTCTTTTATAAAAGTTAAAAAAAATCAAAAAATTTATCTCAAATGAGACTTTTTAATTCCAAACTAAAATAATTAAAAAATCAAAAAATTAAAAAGTGAACCCACATCTAAAACGAAGGATGCCTCTTCTCCTCCATGAAATGTTAAAATTCAAGAATGCTAACAAAATTTCTACATATTTACCATTTCTAAATTAGCTGATTCAAAAGGGGACATCCAAACAGGACACCACAAATATAAAGCAAATTTTTAAGAGTAGTTACGAGGTGGACGAAACTTATTTATCAAAAATTATAACTCTTTTGAACCAGAATCAAAAATTATAATTCAAATTGATAAATTTATCAAATCTAAAAATTAAAAAAAAAAATGATACATTTATCGTTGTAAAAACCCTTTAATTTTTATTTTTTTTTGTTAAATACAATCCAACTACTTACACTTTTCATGTCATATTTCAATCCAAATTAACACAAAAAACTAACAATACATCAAAAATCACAAGCAAAAGTCAAATTATCCCAATCATTTATAACTTTGATAAATTTATCAGTATCATTACCAGTATCAAAAATTATTCTACAAATACAAAAACACATTTAAAAAGTGTATTAAAAAAAATCATTATTAAAATGAGAAGCAAATACATAAAAAAAAAAAATTAAACAAATAAAAAAACGTCAAAACTTAGGAGTAAATAAATCCAATCAATAGTATTTACCCATAATTATACTAAATTTTTATCAACAATCTACCAAAAATGCTAATACATAAGCCCCATAATCAATTTTTTAATTGTAAATTGTCGTGGTTAGCCTTCTAATTTAATCCATGAAGAACCCTTTACGTTATGTTTAATTGGAGAATTCTAGAAGGAATTTGAAAAATGAAAGAAAAAATGTGTGAAATTAGGTAAAATATAGGCATATTTTATTCATATTTCACATGTCTTTTCCCTTTCTCTTTCTCTTTCCAAATTTCTTTATAAATCTCTCAACCAAATACAGTATTAAGATTTCTAAACATCATCTCGTGATCCTCCATTTTAAATTTCTTTTAAAATTGTTGAATTATGCTATGAGATTCTTGTGTCTCAAAATTCTTACAATCAAACATTATGAATGTTTTAAGAAGAAAGAAAGAATTCAAAGACAACGTACTTGGTTGTAATCAACATAGTCTTCGGTCCCGTTTGTAAACAAATTTTTTTAGTAACTTTTTAATTTTTTAGGTAAAATATGATGTAAAAAAAATTAGTGTGTTTAGAATGAATTTTTGATTTTTTAAGAAAAGATGTGCAAAAAGTAGAGAGAAAAGAAAATTTTTGATTTTTTTGTATAGGTTATTAGTTTTTTAATTTTTTAGTGACTTTTTTACTTTTAAACTAAAAAGTGATGTTGTCAAACGAGACCTTAGTTTTAGGTGAATTAGGAGCAAATCATGGAGGTAGGATTGAAAATGAGCCAAATAATAGATGTTTGGGCGAATGCATCTAACCGTCCTTATAGTCTGGGGTTCATGTCAATTTGGTTCCTGACTTTTCAATTATGACATATTTGATCATAAATTTTGAATCTTGTTCTAAATAAGAACAATTGAAAATACCATTGTTTAATTTCAAGGGCAAAATCGTCAATTTGATAAAATATAAACTAATTTGACAAAAAATAAATGTCAAAAAAATATTTTTTAATTTTTAAAAATTATTTCTACCCATCAAAGATAAAATCATGTAAAATTAATAAATTGTTTACACATTTATTTATTTATTTATTTTACAAAATTAATTTTTTATTATGTGTTTGAATGATGACTATGTAATGAGTGGTTGTTAAGATTATAATGTGTAATCGATATATTTAATATATGAAATGTTTGTAGTTTTGGATTTTTGATTTAATGGATTGGTTTAATAATGATATTAAAGTTGTCGCCATATTTAACTTTTAAAAAAATAAAAACTAATTTAATGAAAATGAAAACTACTCATTACATGATCATCATCCAAACACATAGTAAAAATTAATTTGATATAAATAAATATATAAATGTCTAAAAGATTTATCAATTTTATATAATTTTATCTTTAGTTGGTAGAAATAATTTTTAAATATTCAAAAATATTTTTTTGATATTTATTTTTATTAAATTAGTTTATATTTTATCAAATTGACTATTTTGTTCTTGAAATTAAGCAATAATATATTCAATTGTTCTTATTTCAAACAAGATTCAAAATTTTAGGTCAAATGTGTCACAATTGAAAAGTCAGGGATCAAAATGACACAAGTCCCAAACTATAGGAACTGTTAGTATAATTTGCCTTATATGTTTAAGTTTGGCTTAAAACAAAACGAGTTTAAAATTATATTCAAATTTCACATGTTTACTTAGATTAACGAGTCAATCCTGAACAAATTTTTAACAATCAAAGACAAATTGAGTGCAAGTACTTCAGTTCATTTAACAACTCTACATGAAAGCAATTGACACCAACTTGCATGTCAAAAAAATTTGAGATTCGAGTCTCAAAGGCAACAAAACTCATGCCCCTTAATAGACCCACTAGTTCTTTGCCACTATGTCCTCAACGGAGAAGCGGCTTAAGCCCAGTTTAAGATGTTCAAGTTTGACTTAAAACTTAATGAATTTGAAATTGTATTCAAATTTCACTTATTTATCTAAGCTAACAAGTTAATCTTGAACAAGATTTTTTAACAAACCAAACACGAGTTTATATAGGCTAAAAAGTTAATCTCAAACAAAATTTTTTAACAAACGGAACACGAATTGAGCACAAGTCCCTTAGTTCATTTAACAACTCTACATGGAAGCAATTAACACCAACTTATATGTCAAAAAAGATCGAGATTCGAGTCTCAAAGGCGACTGAAACTCATGCGTCTTAACAGACCCATTAGTTCTTTGCCACTGCGTCCTCAATGGAGGGCTCAAGCCCATTTTGAGAGAACACTTTAAAATCCCTAATCATGTTCATCTAAACCCCCTCTATGTCTAATCTATGATCATGTGTAAGAATAATTTACAACAGGGGGTTTCAAAGGAAACTAAAAAGCTCTTGCTCTATATAAATATCACTGAACTAACTTGAGAATCATCATTACATATACAAAGAGGCTCCTACAATAGACATTACTATTTCCTCCTAACTCACCCTTTCCTCCTCATTTCATTTTTTTTCTAACAGTAAAACATTACTCTTTTTACATTCTCCTTAAGGGCTGGCAATGGCCTTACACCGGACTCCCCATTAGCTCTTGTACTTTTTCCGGCATTACCACCACCGCTGCTGCCATTCTCCTGCATATCTGGTTCCAGATAGAATCTGGCTCGAAATGCTGCTAAATGTGCATAATAAGCCGGAGGAACTGCAACAAGAGAAAAACAACGCTACTCACTTCAGTTTCCCTTAAAGAACAAATATCAGAAACTCAATTATATTACAGCTTGAATGAAGTGAATCTGTGTGTTTACTAAAACTAGGCTCTCAGGGAGGACGAGAGAGGTCATAACCGTCATATGGGCCTAGAAACAGGCAGGGCCGGCTTGCACGTGAAGCCACTAAAGCATAAGCTTTAGGTCTCGTTTCACAAAAGGCCTCCAAACTTCCCTTTTTCTTTTTCTTTTTTTTGTTCCTTTTTCTTTTTTCAGACGGCTCCCTTGAAAAAGGCCTCCACACAATCACGAAAGAAACAAAAAAAGTTGCAACCTATAATCATAATACTGGTGTGGTTTAGTTTGTCAAAGGCACTAGTTCTATTTTAAAAGCCCCACATTAGAAAAAAGCTCTACGTATTTTAAAAAATAAACAGTATATTACCGTAACAAAACCCAACCCTACATGGCAAAGATTTTCACCAATTAAGAATAGGTTCAACAGACTTAGGCCTCATTTGGCAAGTGACTTTTTTAGTCAAAAAGTTACTTAAAAAGCCAAAAAACTAACAACATATACCAAAAAGTCAAAAATTCTCTTTTCTCTTTATTTTTTGCACATCTTTTCGTAAAAAGTCAAAAAGTCATTCCAAACATACCAATTTTTTTTACTGCATATTTTAGTCAAAAAGCCAAAAAATTACTAAGAAAAACTGTTCCCAAACGAGGCATTAGTCTTCATTTTTTTTTCCTTTCTATCTTTTACTTTAATAACCCCCGTTAAAGCTTCAAATAAACCCCAACACTGATAATATTATTTAAATATTAAAAATCTATCATTTGAGATTTTGTTTTAGGCCTCGTTGAGAATTAGACCGGCCCTAGAAACAGGACAACTTCTAAAGAATGACCTTCGGGACACATTAATAATTTACAATTACATTTTTAAACTTTTTTGTAACTCCAGATTTCCTAATTGCTAATGCTTCAGCTGATATGATGTAACCATGCACTGTGCACTTGAAGGAATTTTTTTTCCATCCTTGTGAGATTGAGACTGAGATGGTGTCTTTTTCATTTTTCATCTTTTTTCCCTTTTTTCTTTTGTTTTTGTTTTTTTTTTTCCTTCTTACAAGGAATGGCTAAGATTACGAGGCAAACTTCACATGCATACTCGAAGCAATCATGTAACTAGGAACACAGACTTACCAACAGAGACCGAGCGTGTGCACCTTGCGTACGTGTAACAAAGATTGTTTGTTAATGATTGAATTCCGTCTGCTGTAAAATTGTTCTCATCCCATAGAACATGGTAATGAGCTGGCCGACTTGTCCCCTACACATTACAAAGAAGGTATGATTCATTAGTTACAAAAACTTTCACACCATATGCAGTGAATTACATGAAACGAAATTCATTAGTTACAAAAACTTTTACAGCATATTGTCACGGACTGGGCGCTCGCCATCCTCTCGAGAAGCCGGCTCCATGAGTGATACTGCATACCCCGTGAATTATGCCCAAGGACCAACCCAGGAGATGTGATAGGAATCTACCCTGCCTACCTTGCCGCTCACAAACTAATGCGCTTGCAAGGTGCTTGGTGTAGAACTCGCACCCCCAATGAGTCGGGTACGTGACAAATATGCAGTGGATTACAAGAAATGAAACTAATATTTCCACTCATGTAAAGTTTGAATTGCATGAAATGAAAACAGTCACTCTTTATCTTGTCCTTTTCATTCAGACACATCAACACCCGGGTACCACTTAGCTTAAAATATAAGGCACCTTTATGATCACAGACCTTTCAGACCAGTCAGTGAAAAAACTCTCAGTTAAACACTTAAAAACATCATCAAACAGATACTTTTTCCCAAACCATGAGTGGAACATGCTGGCAAGATGGACCACCAATCGAATCCAATATTTTCCTGTTTTGCATCTTTTTTTTTGTTCCTTCTATTTTTTTCTTGTAATAGGAATTGCCAATTGTTGGCCTTTCTCTGCCACCCCACAGGTGAGCCAAAGGCTTCCATTTAGGGCCAAAAAAAATTATAATATTCATAATCAGAATTCAATAAGTTAATGCATTCAGGTTCATATTTGTTTTTTTGTTCTAAAAACAGAAGAAACAGAATCCAATACAAAAACTTGTTGGGCAAACTATTTTCAAAAGCATATATTTTTTAGGAAAAAGTTTAGACTGTTTTCTGAATTTTCAAAAACTCTTTTCGCTCAAAAAATGAAAATGAGTGGTGTTTCCGAACTTTTCATTGTTGTTTCCTAAAACATAAAAACTAAAATTTTGAAAATGACACGACACGTTATTTTTCAAGATCAGGACAAAGTTGTTTGTTTTGTAGTACCAAGGCTACTGTCCTTTCTGAATCAGCTAGTGTTGTTTCTCATCATGTCCTTGACAAGAGCAACAGTGCTCAATAATGATAAACCTCTTCTAATCATATATATGTTATAAAAGAAAATTAATAAGTTTTCACCTGAATCCCAGCATGGCTGCAGAGATAGAAATCAAATTCTGTTGGATGACAAATTTTGGAATCAACCACAGTGCCTGAAAAAAATAAAAATAAAAATAATCAGATGAATATGAAAAAACAGAAACATGGACGCATAGAAAGCTCAGACTTCGATGACAGAAACTTTACCGGGTACGATGTTTCCACTCTTGTCGGTGCTGCTGCGATCCCTATGATTGTTTGCAAATAATCTGGTGTGATGTCGTTTTTGGACCACAATGAAAGTCACTGGTGGTTGATAGTTTGGTTCTAATGAAGCACAAGCCTACAAACAAGTAATTGATCAGGAGTCAGGACCACAAATGTTTCTTGTTTGTTTCACATAATTGCCACAATAGAGTAAGAGTGAAGATAAACACCAAATATATATATATATATATATTGTTTGTTTCAAATAATTTTCATAATAGAAAACGAATCAAGATAAAAAAGCACTAACCTTCCGGATTGCATCTAACTCGTACAGTAGGACTTGATAAAACTGCCCTTCACTCACACCATCCCTGATCAAATTATTTTGCAGTCAAATTACAAATTAAAATCATAGAAAAAAATTTATGATGCATACTTATGAAGTAAATATGCATAAAATGCCAAATTAGGCTTTAGCTTGGGGCCCACAAATTGACAAATGCATTTGGCTATACATACATGGCAATATTAAGAATGGCACACACAAAGTCTATCTGTAGACACATGGTATGCAAACATAGTGTACATGTGTAAAACAATCCGCGCAAACCATGTTTTGATTGAATAAAATTATTTCAGAACATTTTTATTGTACAAAAAATAGTCTCTTTGGTTGGAATCATCTATTTAAGACCACGGGGTTAACCTGGTGATTGAGGTTGTCCCTAGTACTTATGGAAGGATATAATGGATTATGTACGATAAAGCAGCATGATGGGATGCTTCCAACCAACAATTAAATGCACCTCCGACAGCCAATGTACCCATAGGGACCCCAATATCCTCTTACCATTGTCACATGTTATTTTTCAAAGATTCGAGTAATAGAAGTTTTTTTTACTTTTGTGCTTCAATTTAACATGAACGCATTTCACATTCAATGCCAATGGTTAAATAAAACAACTATTCAACTGCATAAAGCTAACGAACTTTGTAATTGAAGTTTTGCAATAAGCGGAAAACGGCGTAGACCCCAAAAATAAGACAGCCCTCAGTGGCCATTGAGCAAATAACAATGGTGTGGAAGAGGCAAAGGTGGCGGCAGTTATAGCGTCAATGAAACAAAGACAATGAAAACACATGCTACCGTGATACTGATGATGTAGGCTGTTATTAGTGCCGGAAGTGAAGATGAAGGCACCCTCAAGGGTTGAGATACTGGCGACTGAAGTGGCAGAGTACCTTGTCTAGGAGGAGGTTGAAGTGTGGTAAACGTAGAGGCACGAGGAGATGATGACAAAAGAATAGTTATAGGGCAACCTAGACTTTATGACCACACTAAGGCTACAATAAAGATATAATTATGGGTTAATGCAAATCTGTGGTGAACAGAATGCCACTCTCATAAAGCAGCTAATGAGATATTAGAAATATGGGAAAATGATAAAGATCTCTAATAGATAACCAATTTTTTTTTACCAAACTACACGGTTATGGGACGCACACCCATGTGTTTTGTTAGTAAAAAAATTGATAATTTAGTAAAGGTATGTAGCAAAGTCGAAAAAATGTCCGATAAATACATAATTATTGATTAGAATATTAACCTGTAAAATATAATTCTTAGTGGCTTTTGCCCTGTTGCCTTTCGGAAGGAAACTAGAAGATCTCTGCATAAACCGGAATGAGATGTAAAAACAAATACAAGCAACCCAAGACACATCCCCTACCACCAAACATAAAAGAAAAGTGAAAAAATCAAAACAGATAACAAAGAAAGAAAGAAAAGAAGGAAATTTTCTATGAAAAGAGTCCCACACTAGAAAAGAAAATGTAGTATACCGGATCATTCCACCACTAATTGGGCCACGGACAGGATCGTGCCAGGTTTTGTACAAGTCTTGTATGAGTTCCTGTCTATGAGCTTGAGCACAAACCAATCCAGCATATTTTGTGACTTCAGGCCAATCCTGAGAAGCTACTACCTATAGTCAACACAAGATTTATCAGGCAAGTCCTCAATGATCATTGCAGGAAAGAACGTTTTAAGAAAACATGTTTTCAGTTAAGGAACTGTACAGCAGCTATCGAGGGGCTCGAGTCTTCTCCGTTCTCTGGGTGGGTCACATCTGCTCCAAATATTATGGTTGGAATGTCACTAACTAATGGTATTTTACAGCTGATAGCATCCAAAAGAACAGTGTTTCTACCCCCCATCTGTACCAATAACAGAAACAGTTCAAGAGTTAGTTATTATTAGGTACTTCATATTAAATTGAGATCAAACCACAACAGAAATGCCCATAGCACAACAATGAAAATTTTCAATGAATGACGGGAAAAATTAAAAAATCTTAGATATCTTACTGAAATTTTTACATCATTGGATAATGCAAATAAAATGGAATTTTTGTGGGGATGTCTTCTTGTGCAATTATAAAGAAACATCACACCTTAACGTTAATCTTCAAGGACACATTAGCCAGGTATTGCTTGCTAATCTTGAAGACATGTTTTGTCAGACAGCATTGTGACATCAAACCAAGATCTGTTTCACATATTCGCTTTATATCACCTGAAAGTGCAGAATCACATCAAGCTTGAAATTTCCACTCACAATGAAAATCTGCAATTTCATTATCAATTCAAGCAACTCAAGTTCAACCATAACACACCATATAGTGATCCATTGTTGTCTGGCAAAATAGCTAATAGAAGCTCTAATTCTTTTCCTTTCAGTTTGTTTGTGCATGAGTGATAAACATGCTTCAGAGCTTTCTCTACTTGATCAGGCCTGGATGTGTAGATTGGAATCACAGGTTCTGGATTAAATTCCTAAAAACAGTAGCATATTACAACTTGACATCAGAGCAAAACCAAGACCTGTTAGATCTAAAAGCACATGGAACACGTGAAGTACGTACCATGCCAGACACTTGACACATTTGAGCCAATTCACTACAAAACCCACGAGCAACACTCTCTTGCACACTCCGTGAGAAGTTGATGCATGCCCACCGGTTCACAGTCATCCCATTAATCATTTTCTGTATTTTACGAGGAGACAGAGAGTTAAAACCATACAAGGCATAGAAATGAATTGAATCACTATTGTTACAAGTCCCCAAAATAAATTTGAAACCGAACAATAGGAAAAAGGAGTGAAACACAAATTAAAGATTATAAACCGAGTCATGGTTAGGTTTTTTTGGTTGATTATAAAGGAAATGAAACAATAAACATAAATGTGATTTGTCAAATCTCTTTTACTTGTTTCCTATGAAAACATCATTTCAATGCACAAAAGAACAATACCTTGTTCATCATATTCCACTGACCAACTTGAGGCAAACAATCCTTTTCCTTCCCGGTTTCATGATATTTCAGCTGCAGATGAAAGTAGTTAGATGGTGGACTATTTATAAACAGCCACACCATTTAAGAATTCCAAGAAGTTCGAAGGATGTTCTTACCCAAGGGGCAGGGAGTACCCGTGCCTCCAAAGACGTGAGTTTTTCACTGATTTTGATCCCAAACTCCTTTGCATATGGATCTTGATCATAAGCATTTTGTTGAACCGTCTGTTTGTATTTTAACGAGCCCAACAGATAAAAGTTATTTACTGAAGCTTCATCAACTACCACAAATGTCATAAACGACATGAACTATTCATCATAGTATATGTAAATGAAATGCAATTATTCAAGGTTCATCTGTTGAAAGTCAAAAATAGAATCACCCTTTCTAGTTATGCTAAAAATATTCAATATTTTGATATCCAAGTAACTTTATGCCTCCTACTCAAGTCAACAAAAGGAAAAGAAAAAAAAAAATTCTAAATTTTCTTGATAGTAATAAGTTAATAACCAGAGTGTAGGAATTGTTCATAAGAAATATAATAATATATTTTCAAACAGAGATTTTTAACTTCAATATTTGGTTCAGAAGCCTATATTATGATCTCACTCTTTAACTACACAGGTTATAGGACTTAATAAACTCTAAAAAGCTCATGTGGTTGGCAAGAAGATAGAGTAAAAGGTAAAATAATTTAGATCTACACAACCATTTTATAATGAAGGGTCTGAACTTTTTTACTTCTCAATTTTTTAGCAACCAAATGGATCATAAATTAGTATATGTTATTCCAAGGTCAAAAATTCAATTCAGTTAACTTTCCTCAGTCACCAGGGGGATAAAAAGGTGAGCGATATGCAGGATCTTAACATCAGAAGTACCTGCAAAATGTCATTCTCTCGATCCCGAGGTCTTTGGCATGTAACCATCTGTACCAATAAAATTTGTTTCTCATTCAATCTTTTAGTATATCGTTGCCCCTCAACAATCTTGCAGGCCTGGCAAAAGAGTAACGTTAGGCACCACATAATGATTTAAAAAGAATGTAACCGACTATACTTGTACTTCGTAGAACTGCAAAACATGCAGTAACTGTTCACCTCCATAGGTAAATAGTTTGCCTTCTTCTGGTTTCCCACTTTAAGGCAAGGAAGGTGTGTATACTGAATTGTGAAGCCATACATTTCTTGAAAATATTCAACAACTGACTTCATGGTTGAGTCGTCATCAACAGGAAACCTGAACAAAATTACCATTCAAGTTACCAAGGATCCTTAAAGAAAAGCAACATAAGAGCGAGTAGAGTTTGATTCAAGTTGAATGAGCTAAAGGGAAAAGAATTATTACCAAGTAATATGAGAAACTTTGACATATTGAAGAGAATACTAGGCAATAGCTGGAAATCTTACACTAATTCTCTTGTGGGTTGAGATGTTAATCCTTGAACTCGGTACTTTCTTCGTACATGACCCCTATGTGTTACTTCGACTTTCACTCCTCTAAGGGCCTTCTTGATCTGGAAGACGTTTCAAGGAAAATTTCCAAATTTAGAAACCTAAGAGGGAAATAAATTCAATATCACCAAAACAACAACCAGTACCTTTACACGGTCAGAGTCGGACAATGTCCTTGATATCGCATCTTTTCCTAGAAGCTGGGCAACAAACTCTATTACAGGGAGAGCCTCAATAAAGGCAGCTGAAGCCATATCTGTATGATAAGAAGAAGAGACCCCTCAATAATAACATTAAAAACGACAATGATGATGATGACAACAACAAATTTTTTATATGAAATATTCAACCAATGATGCTTATTTACCAATATTAAGGGACAAGCCCATCTGGGTAGGCCTTATACTTTGGTAGAATCCACACCACGATTCCAAACCATCACCAAGCCGTTGTGGTTTCCGAATATCTGGTGAAAAGAATGATCTTCCAACAGGGCAGTACCTTTTTAAAGTGCATTACGAGACAAACAATATCTTAGTTTGAGATAAATCATTAAACTGAACGAATTGAGGTCAACACGACCTCAAGCACTTTTGAGAAATCATACCTCTTTGTTGCAAGTTCTCTTAACACAATGTCAAGAATTTGAAGAGCTTCCTGGGGAGCATCAGCACGCTTACCAGCAAGAAATTGGCCCAAATGATGCAAGTTTGCCCGTGCAGCGAACTTGATCACCACTTTGTACTCCCTCACCCTTCTGAAAATTTAAACCAATATTCAGTATTCCCAGCTCTATGGATGTATAAAAAGACAGCTAAACAAAAATGAGCATGGGTCCTCTGCCATTATCTTGCAATGGATTTTACCATAACAAGACATCTCAACAAATGACATAGTTGAATGGCTCAAGTCGAAAGCTAAAGCAAAATTAACAATTTTTTTAAAATAAACACCACAAAATTTTGTCGTTTTGCGTCAACTTTAAATCCGGTCCAATGGATTATCACAGCAAGATCATGGTAGAGAAAATCATGGGACAGGATCCCAATTCAATAAAAAATGTACAGATCTTACTAGTTACAAGTACGTTTAAGAATGAATTATTTTCCTTATGCATTCATTTGGTTTGTATTTTCCACTTAATTTGTTGTGGAAAGAAGTCCAACAAGTAGAGATAGGAACACCCAGCCGGCAGAAATAAAATCCTACCAATTATTGCAGCCAAAGGAGCAACAAATTCTTACTTGGGACCATTGGTTCCATCCTCTTCATCCACAAGTTTAATGTTGAACTCCTTCCATGCAAATGGCAGCTCACCAGCTGTGTATAGACTCTTTTTGCCATCATAAGCTGGCAATCTCTTCCCCAAGTCAGATTCTTTGTACAGTTTCACCAGCTCTGCCATGATAGCTCTGTTCACAGCTCTTGATGCAACTTCAGGAGTAATAGTAACCTGCAAAAAGGATATATGTTGTGAGATGTCTTATATTTACTGTACACTAAAGTAGTGTAACGGAGAGCCAAAGCCATTAGGCTGTTTATGTTTTTCTATGCGCTTGTTCTATTATTTACCTCTTTATTTTGTGATTGAAACCATGATTTTAAACAGCAATATACACACAAGACACAGCAACAAGAACAATTTAAAAACTCATTAACTACATCAGTGCAAAGGACAAAGAGAAAGCAGAGAGGCCTATTCAATTTTATCAGCAAAATAAGAGCAAGTATAAGAAGAAAACAACATCATAAACATACTGAATGTCGGCTTAAGGGCCCCAATTCTTATGGTCACCAAGAGAAACTGAGAATTTAATAATTGTATTGAAGTATATTTAACAGATATATTTAATCTAAATCCATCAAAGCAAATGGCTTAGCTTACATCATACTGGTTCAAGTCCTTGTCCGGTAACTCCGCAAAGAAATGGTTGGCCTTCACAACACATTTTGTCCCAAGCTGTCCAAACCCTGGCCTATGTGCACAACTCAAAGACTTGCTTGAAGAAGGAAAACCCCTCTCTACACATGAGTTGCTCCGGGAACGGGAACCATTCGGTATATCTGCTTCGAAAGCTCCCGTTGGCTGCACCGAGGCTGGCCTCAAGCTTGGCCGCATTAGGACATCGCTGTTATCGGGTTTGCGGCCGCCTTTTCCCCTCCTCCTTCCTCTGTTCTTTGATGGAAGAAAGGGCTGGTTATGGAGTTCGGTATTTTGGGATTCATGGGTTGGTGGGCCTTTGCCATTTTGAGCTGTTTTGGGAGGTTTGTGAACTTGATTCATGGAGTTCTGCAACTGGGGTTTGATCACAAGGTGTTGATTCATGGAGTTCTGCAACTGAGGTTTGATCACAAGGTGTTGTTCTGGGATTTCTTTCATCTGCCTCATAGGCATGATTGTTGGTTTTGAACTGCTTTGAAAAGCAAAAACACTTTTTCAAAATATATGTCCACCAAAATGGCACACACAGACGCTCTTGTCTTCTCTAGTTTTTACTCATTACCCTTCACAGATTTAAGTCTGTTTCGTCTGAAAAAACAGAAACAGAGAAGAAGGAACATAGGTCAGCAAGATGACCGAAATTGAATAAATAAGATAACATATATAGAAACAATGATGATAATGCATCAAAATTGCACACGCAAGCAAAAAAGGGTACTCATTAAAACCCAGTATGTATTGCAGATCACAACTGTTGCCCAATCCACTGCAAAATAGAAAACCCAACCTCTCACATTTGTTTTAACAAAAAAAAAAAAACAAAAACACAAACCAGAAACTACCAATAAGTAAAACATAAAAATACAAAACAACCTAAAACAAAAGTTGCAGTAATAAGTCAGTTAATTTAGAGCAAAGGGCATTGGTGCAGAAAAACACCCAATGTCACCTCAATTCAAACCCAGAATCCACTGTAAGTAAATAAATTGTTGAAGAACCATGAATGGTGGATTTATGATCAAAATATAAATGTATTGAGCTCCATATTTTGCGGAATTTATGCTCAAAACCTGAAAGACAGTTTTCAAAACAATAAAAGACCCAAAACAAAATTTGCAGCAAAAATCAGCTGTGGACTGGGAAAACAACACACGGGTAGAGACAAAACTGACCATTACCCGAAACCCAAAACCCTCTTCTATGCTTCTGTTCGAATCTCGAAACCCAATGACCATGAATCATGAAGACAAAAGCCTAGATACACAAATAGTCTGTGACAGTGTATATGTATTTGAATCCATATATATATAATAATCAAATAGAGGAATACCCAGAAGACAAAATATGGAAAAATCCAAGTAAAACAAGACACAACATACACATAAATATACACATGTACATATACAAACGTGAAGCCATATATATATAAAGAAAGAAGAAAAAAAAAAAGAAAGCCCAAGTACTAATAATGTATGCAAATTAAAGATATGAACATTGAAGATACCCAATTCCACTTCAAAACAGAAAATGTCTTGAGAAATTGATGTACACTTCCCAGATATATTTGAAACTCAGCAACCCAGCTCAGAAAGCAATGGGCTTTAATCAGAAAATCGAAAGATGGACTGGTTAAAGAACGTGAAAGAGTTAGAAAGTGGAGATAAAAAGATGGGTTTTGTGGGGGATTCACTCCAGATTGTGTGTGTAGAGAGAGAGAGAGATGGTGATGATGATGGTGATGAATCTTTATACACGCATGCAAGTGCTTTTGGTGTTTTCTTTATCACGTGTAAAAGGCCTGCCTTCTCTTTGCTTTTGTTTTTAAATTGCTCTGCTCTGTTCAATATCTCTCTCTCTCTCTCTCTCTCTCTCTCACTCTCACAGCCTCTCTCCTCCGTTTGGGTTCTTCTGTACAGATCGAGCAGCCTCGGGGACGTACACAATATATATATATAGATATTAGGGGAGAGAGAGAAGGTGGGGGGATGAGTGGGTGAGAATAGTCCAAAGAACCAGAGAGGATTAAAAAGCAATTCATACCCAGAAGAAGAATAATTCGAACTTGCAGTTTTCTCTACTGCAGTCTTCTTCTCAATATTGTGGTCTTTCTTTCTCTCTCTGCCTTTCTCTTTCTCACTCTCTCACGAGAAGTTATTGGTTGTTATGAGGCATAGCCAGATGGCGCCTTAACGGTGTTGTGATTCGTGTGGGGGATTTGATACATCTGTGTTAAGTGACTAAAAAAAATTAAGTAAAATTTAATCCAAATCTTTTTATTAGATTTTTTTTTTTTTGTAAAAATAACAGATGAATTTATTTTATTTCATAAACATTTTAAAAAAAACACACATAATTGAATAAGGACAAAATAAATTATTTTTTTTAAATATTGCTAAACTAACATATTATTGTGAATCAGAATAACATGTTACTATAAGACAGAGTAACATGTTACTGTCAAATAGAGTAATATGTTACTCTTGCTGTTTACATCAATTTCGACGGTAATATTTTTTTTTTTAAGAATTTCATAATCAATATGGATCTTGATAAAAAGATTCTAAAAATATTAATTTTATTAAAAATTGACATTTACATCAAAAGTTATATTATTTTAAAGTTTAATATTTTGATAATAGTGGTATGTGTTAGATTTTTTAAAAAAAACTTTTAGTACTTGTTCTTAATGTATTAAAATTTTATTATAAGAGGATTTTGACCAAATCCACCAAAATTTTAAAAAAATATGGTGAATTGTAATTAGTGAGGAGTACTAACCTATAATTTTTCCTCTCTCACTCAATTTTCTCTCTATATATATGTATGAAGTAAATTACATTTAAAATTAAAAAACATACTAAAAGTGTGACAATTGTTTTATAATTTTATTAAAGTACTGTAATATTTTGTTGATTCTTGAGTGAAAATTTCACAGGAATACCCCATATTTATTATTTTTAAGAGATAATGTAATAGTTAAGAAGTTACTAAAAAGTTAATTGACATTGGAAAAATCATTGAAAAGGTTGTCCGAAAGTCTGGTGGTTGGCAATTAGTGACGATGAGGTAAATCATTAAAAAGTCACTATTTTATTTAAGTCGCATTACATCTTTACTACATCACTTCAAACTTAATCCATATTTTATAAAAGTCCAAAAATATATATATTTAGATCATCTTAAACCACCCCTTAGACTTGAAGACAAATAAATATCTTTTTTGATGGATTAGACATCATTTTGGTCAAAAAAATATTCAAATTTGAGATCTCGTTTGAAATGAATTAATTTAGTATGACTTTTTGAATTTTTAATTATTTTAGTCTACTTAAAAAAGTTATGTTCAGAAGAAATTTTGACTTTTTTTTGTAGTTAATTTGATGATTGTAAAAAAAAAAAGTGAAATAATTATAATTTTTATGTGACATTTTGTCTTATTGACTAAATTAAGATTTGTTTGGCAATGCACTAAATAATTACACTTATTTACAATAAATTGTCACATCACTTCCTTATTTTTCAACATATTTTTTCATAAAAATTCAAAATATTAATAAGCAAACCCCAAAGCCAAAATAATTCATACCAAACAAAGTGTGAGTTTATCGACTAAAAAAATTTAAAAAATATATTTCTGGCTTGAATGTCCATATTTTAATTCACATAATAATTTTTATTTCTTTTAAAAATTTATTAGTTATATAAATAAAAAAATGATATTATTTAATTTTTTATACTAGAATATATATTTTCTCTTAATTTTAATCTCACGAAAGAAGATTAGTATAATTATATTTTAAAATTGTGATTTTTGTTATTTTAAAAAATATATATATAAAAGGACAACGTAATTTACCCATATAATGACGTAACTATTTCTTTATGTGTGCGTGTGAATGTCCCAAATCGATTTTATCACCAAAGATCTTTTAGAGTATTTTTTTCTTAAAGTTTTCTAAAGTGATGTATTGTGTGGTTGAGATTTAATACTGAAAAATTGATGTGATTTGTCATTAAATCTCAACCACACAATACACCACTCTAAAAAATTTAAAAAAAAAAAAACTCTAGGGCATGCTTGCTCCGATTTTACAGTGGAACTGAGCCATGTGGGTAAGCTGTAACGGTCTAGTCAAGCTCAATGTGAAGCTAAAGGAGTCCACTTTTTGTGGTCCATAGTTTGTGTGAGTGTGTAAGCATTATCTGCTTTTGAATTTAGAAAAATGCTTGGGAGCACTAATTAGTGCTCTCACTAATTAGGTGGCAGTGGGTCCCGTCATTAATGATGTGATATTTTGGTCTTGGAGTTGTGTTTTTTTTTTTTTTTTAACTTTTTTAATGCATTAGTGCTATTAGTGGTGATATTTTTAGTGGGATGAATCATTGTTATTGAATTTAATGGTTTGATTATCATTGGAGAAATTGTTATTGAGTGTAAGTTGACATGATTTTTTAGGATATTTATGCTGATGGATAAATTTATTATTTAATATATTTTATAATAATTAATAATATTTTTTATCAAATATTATTTAAAAAGTCATTAATTATTAATTTTCAGTGATAATTTAAAAATTTTGTCATAAAATATGTCACTAATTATAAATTTTAACAATAATTTAAATAAAATCATCACAAAAAATGTCACTAATTTTAATTTTTATTGATAATTCAAAAAATTTATCACAAAAAGTCACTATTATATGTTTTAGTAATAATTATAAAAATCGTGACAAAAAAATCACTAATGCTTAATTTAGCGACATATGAAAAAAATGTCACAAAAATCATTTTCATCAACGATTTTACTGCGACTAATGGCTAAATAGGAATTAAATTCAACTATTAAGACCTATTAGTAGTTTACCCTTCTTTAATTTGCTTTCAATCTAAATTATTCGTTTACTTTCATTAAATAAAATTGTCGAAAAAAGTTTATTTTAATTATTCAATTTAATATAGAAGTACAAAAAAATGTCTAAAATACATGTTTTAATTTATTTTCATGACTAAAATACAATTTTTCCAAATGTTTTATTTAATAAAAATAGGCAAATAGTTTAAATTAAAAATAAACCAAAAGATTATGGTTTAAATTAATAAAATTTAAAACTCAAAATTTATTTTGTTATAAGACTTCAATCCAAAATTTTTATTTATTTTCTAATTTCTTCTAAATTTTTCATGTATTTTTAAATATTTTATCAAAATATTACTGATTTGCAATTTTCTCATTGTCACTAGGAATATTCTTATCACTTTGGTAACATACATATCATAATACCAACAATGCTACAGGGCCCGAATTCCTCCGCCCCGAATGCCCCTAAACCACGAAACGACGTCGTTTCGTGGTTTTAATTTTTTTTTTATTTTTATTTCAGCAAAAGGATTTGCAATTTTCTCATTGTCACTAGGAATATTCTTATCACTTTGGTAACATACATATCATAATACCAATCTTTTTATTATTTATTTTATTTATACAAGCATCACGTGTCTCACCCATAATATAATTAAGGCCGAGTTACACTAATAGTCCCTATAGTTTGGGACTCGTGTCACTTTAGTTCATAACTTTTTAATTGTAACATATTTGACCCTGAATTTTAAATTTTGTTCCAAATAAAGATAATTGAAGATACCACTGCTTAATTTCAAGGGCAAAATCATCAATTTGATAAAATATAAACTACTTTGACAGAAATAAATATCAAAAAAATATTTTAAAATTTTAAAAAATTATTTCTACCCACCAAAGATAAAATTATGTAAAATTAATAAATCTTTTAAACATTTATTTATTTATTTATTTTACTAAATTAATTTTTATTATGTATTTGGATAATAATCATGTAATGGGTGGTTGTTAAGATTTTAATGTGTAATCGATATATTGAATATATGAAATATTTTTAATTTTTTGATTTAATAGATTGATTTAATAATGATATTAAAGTTATCGTCATATTTGACTTTTGAAAAAATAGAAACTAATTTAATAAAAATAAAAATTATCTATTACATGATCATCATTTAAATATATAATAAAAATTAATTTGATAAAAATCAATAAATAAATAAATGTCTACAAAATTTATCAATTTTACATAATTTTATCTTTAGTGGGTAGAAATAATTTTTAAAAATTAAAAAATATATTTTTGACATTTTTTTTTATCCAATCAGTTTATATTTTACCAAATTGACAATTTTACCCTTAAAATTAAATAATGGTATCTTCAATTGTCCTTATTTTGAATAAGATTCAAAATTTAAAATCAAATATATTACAATTAAAATATCAAGAATCAAAATGATACAAGCTCAAAACTATAGGAACCGTTAGTGTAATTCACCCTATAATTAATTCAAACGGCCAACCAAACAAAGAAAACAAGAGTGGCCAGAGAGGAGTACCCGAATACTATGTGAACAAAAAAGTGGGGGAAAAAAAAAAAAGGCTTATATAAAATTAAGAGTTAATTACTTAAAAGTCATATTTATAAATATTATAGTAGATCAGGTCCTATTTAAGATTTTTTAAATCAATATGTCATATTTAATAAAATTGAGAATATTATCAATTTTGTATAATAATGTTCTAGATAATCGTTTCGCTAATTGATGGGGGAAAAAAAAACAGAGCATGAGATTAAATATTTTTGTTCTTTTACTTATTGATTTGATTCAACTATCTAATAAAACCGAAAACAATATCAGTTTTTTTTCAATTTTAAAACTAATAATGTTATCAGTTTTTCATCTTTAATTTTTTTTTTTAGTTTTGCACATCAATGTTACATCATCATGCTCATTTATAGACACAAAATTTTCAATTTTGCATTAAAAAAAATTCAGTTTTTCAGTTTTTGAAAACACTTTTCAGAAAATTCTACTTTCTTATTTTTCGCATTTTTTTTTGTTTTTATTGAATTTTTTAATAGTTTATGCAATTTTTTTTTTTAATTTTTAGACACACCTAACATAAATACACTTTAAAAATATAATTTCGTAAAAAAAATCTCTAAAAT